TAGATAATAATAAAATCTTTCTTAATCACTCTTAAGCCTTTGCGTAAAAGAGAACCGTTGAATGTACCGATGATGTTCAAATCAACCAGTCAAGGGCATGGCTGGCAAACCAGAAAATTCTACTTTACAGCTCTATTAGTGTCACAGGGCCAATATTTAATGATATACAACTGTAGATTAAACATGCAACCTTATTGATATCGCATTCTTCAGCTGAAGGTAACTAGTACCTCTACGTTGTGCTATGTAATAGTTCGATACGATTTCACTATTTATTCTAACGTAGTTTAAGAGACTGAATAAAAAAACTACTTTGCTGATATCAAATATGATTTCCAGTTCATTTTGATAGTCTATATTATGTTTCTGCATTCAGGTCACATTAGTTTTAGCTGTCTTGTGACGTACGATTTTTCCATAATGTGATAGGCCATCAGATTGTCGTCAGCTTATCAAACGGCTGTCTATGAGAAGCCTCCACGCCTCTTAATAACATTTATTAATAATAAACAACTACTAGTGTACCTGTTGCTCGAATTCGAGCAATTGCGAATCATTACACTCAAAAGCATTACGACTCAAAGATGATGTAAATACTCACAATCTACACAACAGTTAGATATAATCAAAATCTTTTGTAAATATCTTATCTTTTTTTCAAAAAGCTGATCTTGTTTTTTTAGTGTTTTCGACAAATTTTTCCCTCTCATAGCCGCATTAGGTTGTCTATGATAACGATTATAAATATAAAAAAAACATTATTTCTATTTCTTCTACTTGGTTGTGTTCTATGACTTTTTCTATGTTTCCATTGTTTGCAAATCGGTTATTTCAATTATTGCTCAAGAAATGTAGAACAGTTTTTATTCAGTTTTATTTTTAGCCTATATCAAATTGTCCAGAATTTCTCGCTCTTTTCCATTCTAATAATTGCACCAACCCAAGTTTCGTCTACAGATGCAATATGCCAACGAATATCACCTACGTACAATCTCCAAAGAAGTGGTAAAAAAGGCAGAAACCAACCCCATACAATAGATATAAGTTAACTCCAAAAGAAATAATTTTAAGAGTTGCTGTGATATTAGGATTTTCCACTGATTTGGTAATAAAACATTATATTGCAAAACATGACACGACGCAGAAGAAAATCCATTTTAAAATAAAAAAAAACCCATTGCAAATACTGTACTTCATTTTGACAAATTCAATAAATAGTATTTAAAATCACAATTTAAATATGAACAGCTATTTGATTAAAAAGTAGTGTAGAATTATGCATATGGTTGTAATGTAAACAAATCTGAAGAGGCAACTTTAAAGGCTTCTGGGGCAGAGCCCCAAGGGAATTTACCTCGTTCCTCTTTTAATGGCTCATCTACAGACCAAGACCTTTCTTTAGAGACCCATACCAAGTTTCTACGCCCAGCCGTTCTCTCAAATTAGCTGTGACAAAAACCCCGTTTTCCTCCATAAGATTAACATGAAATGGGAATTCAAAGGCCACTGGGGCAAAGCCCCAAGGGAATTCACGATGTTTCTCTTTTGATGGCTCATCTACAGACCAAGACCTTTCTTTAGACACCTCTACCGAGTTTCGACGTCCAGCCGTTCTCTCAAAATAGCTGTGACAAAGAAAAACCGTTTCAAATTAATATATAGATTTTGTAGAATTGTGCACTTATGATTAATTTAATCCCGTAAAAGAAACTACATGTAAAATAATTTCAATGAAAATAGTATATTTCATCACTACGTCGTAAAGTGACTCTTTCTGACCCGAGCTCAAGTTTTAAGATCGGGACGAAGCCGAAGACGAAAAAAGCGAGTTTTGAAAAGACACTTTTTGCACGTGGGATGAGCTACATTTTTCGTCATATTGCACCATTACTCCCTAGGGAGTAAAAAAGGTACTTTAGACCCTCAACGCCTGCATTGAAACCGAATGTTTTGCTGCATTGTGACAGAACGTGTTTTCGAATAAGCCCGAAACAGGGGGTTTTATTATTTAAACTCTATACATAAGGAGATTAGTTTATCAATATAGAATTTTTACATATCTACAGAAAACTTTAACACTGCTTTACATCTACTTAAGGGAACAAAATCTATTATTCAAGGCCTCTGACAAAAAAGTATGAAGACTCGATGTATCAATGAGCTGTTTGATAAACCCGGTGAATTATTTGGTTTTCTCGTTTTCTTTTTAATGAAACAAGTTGTTATTGAATAGCTAGCTTAGGTCCACAAATTTATTGACTTACATTTGTGTTAACTAATACATGAGTTGTGCACATATAGGCCTATTTTACTAATCATGGTTTCATTGTAAGTACCATCAGTATGTACCGGTGATTTAGCTAAATATAATTCAGGGTGAGGCAGTGAAACGGCGCGATTCTGATACCAGCTGACAAGGAATTGAGGGCCATCAGAGTACGGGGGAAATGAACATAGACGTCTAGACAAGTGGAAATTTCAGTAGCCGTGGAGCGTTGGACGAGTGCACAATACGCGTTTGCTGTAAAGGCAAATTGCATAAACGTTGATTTTATGCTTTGTGCTCAGCGCACTTTCCGTTATGAATTCAGTCTATCGCCGCGGGCTCCTGTGCCATCAAGGGAAGCTATCCTGCTTTGGGAGAATAACTTTGAAACCACTGCTAGCACGACAAATCGCTATAAAACGATTGCAGACGTTATGCAAACGCTAAACCAACGTCATGGGCTGATTTCCATTCATAATTCAACAAATGTGTGCAAAACCTTTTTTTGTAAATTAATTATTTGTGATTTTCCAAAATCTTACCATTTCACTGCCTCGTTCTGTATGTTTTTAATATGGTAATATGTTATGTAAAATAATATAAATAACTACAATAACTACATTTTTTTTTATCAGTGTCCATACAAATAAAACACAAAAAGATTAAAATAAACAACTTGTGCATCTTTAGTTCAAGGATATTAGGATTTTATGAAGTTATTACTATTAGAGAATATAGATTGAAGGACAAACTATTGAGACTGTGTAATACAGATCCTAAAAGCAAGGCAATAAACTTACAAATAGAAGTTCTCATCCCAAGCAGCGAAATAATGTTTTAGTAGTAATAGTTTTAGGTGTCCTTGAAAATGACAACCGAATGTTCGATACTAATGTTCGAGATCCTGAATCGGGAGCAGACGACAACACCAATGTAACCGTAACCTCCAACCAAGGAGTTAGCGGAAAGGTTCAAGAAGATAAAACTATATCTAACACTTTATATAAAGATCAACGCAACGGGCGAAATTATTCCCAATCTCCAAATATTTGGAGCTCGAAAAATTTTCCTGCGTTACCCAAGCAAGTATCGGCAACGCGAGACCAAAGTGCTACATGTTCTAGAGAGTTTATGAACAACAAGTATCGTGACGTAAATCAAAGCAGACATTACAGTGGTTCTACAGCTTACAAAGGCCGTGGATACTCAAACCGAAGAAGCCGCTTCACTGCAGACGACAACTATGGCGATTCATCTGCATCTCGAGTGAACGTTGAGGTTATTGACAGTGAACTTGTGCCGAAACGTTTTATTGTCGGTACTAACGAAAATACCAGTATTGTAGCCGGTGAAAAGAAAGCCTGGTTCTATCTGGGCAGATTAAAAGCTGACACAACAGCTCTTGCCGTGGAAAATCTTATTAAGGAATCCTTTTCAGGTAGCATTAATATTGTTGTTGAGAAGCTTGAATCAAAAGGCTGGAATTCTAGCTTCAAAATAGGCGTGGACTTTGAGAGGAAAGACGAGTTTATGGAAAGCTCTATTTGGCCTAAAGACTCCATAATTAAACGTTTTTTGTTCAAACGTCCAAGGGACAAGCAACAGACTTAGGTTGCCTTGCAGCAAGCTCAGTTTCACAGCCTAGGTCTGGTGACAATATTAGGGGTAGTTTGAACTTTTTGTTTTATAATGTACAAAGTTTAAATTCTAAAATTCCTGAACTAGAAATGGCTCTATTAGATATAAATTTTGATTTTTTGTGCCTTTATGAGCATTGGATGACTCAAGAAGCTATTGAACTGAAGAGATTGACTGGTTTTATCTTCTTTCTATCTTGTTTTATCTTGACCTGGTATCTTCTTTTTGCATAAGTATGCATATACATGGGGGTGTGGCTATATTCTCCAGAAGTGAACTTAAGGACAAGTTAGTGGTTATTAATGTAGAACAGTCTTGTTTGGAACTTCATCATGAGTTTGTGTGTATTCTTTGTAGTCACATAAATATCTTACTGATCGGTGTTTACAGACCTCCGGGTGGGGATCATAACCTATTCCTCAATGCACTTGAAAGCCTGATCCTGTCCCTGAATAAATATAGGACTAATTGTAGACTAGTGGTGGGAGGGGATTTCAATTATAACATTTTGGATAGTGGAAACCCTAAAGTTGAAGATTTTATTAATCTACTGAAATCATTAGACCTGTATTGCACGAACTATCAACCCACGCGCTATGATGCAGGTCTAGACAACGCTGCGACTGACATACCTTTAGATATGTGTAATACCCGGGTTCTGCCATATACTCTAAGTGACCATAAAGCGTTAAGTGTGGAAATCATGGACATGAGTATTGGTAATCAAATAAACCAACGTGCTGACAAACTAATACGACCTATTACTCCTAGTAAAGTTACCTTATTTGGGGAAAGACTTTGTTGGGTTGACTGGAGTAGGGTCCTTGTGTGGACAAACGCTGAATCCAACTTTGATGCTTTTTTCTGTACATTTTTAAACATTTTAAATGAAATTTTCCCGGAGAGAGTTGTTAAGACTAAACAAAACCTGTCCAAGAAAGTTGTTTTACCGTCATGGGTAAATCAATCTCTTATGGAGAAGAAGAAATGGGTACTCTATGCTTATGATGTCTACAGAAGTATCAAAACAGAGGAATCTAGGAGTTACTACAATAATCTTAAGAAATGCTATAAACAAGACTTGAATCAAGCTAAACTTGAATACAACATGCACAAAATTGAGAGTGCGAGCAATAAATGTGCGGCAGCATGGGGTGTTATTAGGTCACAATCAGCTACCCCGAAATCTACAGGCACTCTGGTGGATCCTGATGTGTTCAACTCCCATTTCATTGACTCGGTCCAGGTGGCTAGAGATGGTATTGGAGCCTCTGAAGCATCTCCTCAAGAACTTCTTCACCCTGCACCAACTGCGGCTGGCTGTCTGCGCACATGGAGACTGGTGGACCCGGACCATGTGGCGAAAGTTGTTGGAAATATGAAGAACACCTCGAGTAAGGATATTTACTCTTTATCCAGCTCTTTTGTTAAGTTAATTATTAATCATATATTATTTCCATTAACCTTCTGTATAAATAACTGCTTGATTGAAAGTGTTTTTCCATCTTGTCTAAAGGTAGCAAAGGTAGTACCTATACATAAGAAAGGAAGTAGAGACTCTCCTGAGAACTTCAGGCCCATATCGGTACTTCCTATTTTTCAAAGATTTTTGAAGCTATTGTAAAGGAACAGTTACATGAGTTTTTTGTTAGCAACGGTCTGTTTTCCTCCTCACAGTTTGGTTTCAGGAGTGGCCTTGGCACCATAGATGCAGTCGATAGCGTAGTAAGTGAGGCTCTGGGTGGTTTTGAGTCTGGGGGCTTTGTTGGGGCCACCTTATGTGACCTCAGCAAGGCCTTTGATACAGTCGACCATTCGTTCCTTTTGTCTAAACTTGAACACTATGGTGTTGTGGGTGGCTCCTTGGAGTTTTTGCGGTCTTATCTGTGGGAAAGGAGGCAGTCTTTGGTTGTGAATGGACTGAGTTCGCAGGAGAGAGTCATCTCCCATGGCGTTCCGCAGGGCTCGGTCCTGGGGCCCCTGCTTTTCCTGGTTATGATGAATGATGTCAGTTACAATATCGATGGTGGTGTTGTGTACTATGCAGATGACACCACCCTCAAATGCAAGAGTCAAAATTTTGAGAATCTTAATGACGCCATGAAACGGTCCCTAGATTCGGCTGAAGACTGGTTCCGGGCCAACTACTTTTTATTAAACCGAGATAAAACACAAACCATAGTTTTTACACTGAAGCATGTTGCTACAAACAGTGAACCTGTGAAACTATTAGGAATAACACTTGATAGTAAACTCACTTGGAGTTCTCATATTTCTGGTGTGTGTAGTAAATTATCTAGAATCATGTGTTTGCTTAGGAATTTAAGCTATTTAGTTACAAAGCCATACCTTAAGCAGGCTTACAGTGCTTTTTTTCATGGAACCATGCTGTATGGACTGCGATTGTGGGGTGGAGCTGCTGATGTTAGTAGGGTTCTCTTGTGGCAGAAGAAGGCTATCCGCCTACTGGCTGGTGCTGACTACCTTGCACACAGTAAACCACTGTTTATTAATGAAGCCATCATGACTGTCTATAGCTTATATGTATTTCTGCTTTTGCTTTCAGCTAAAAAATGCCAAGGTACTTTAGTCAGTAGAAAAGATGTACACTGTCATAACACTAGAAATAAGAACAAATTTGATGTCCCATATGTAAGATTAAAAGTAGTTCAGTCAAATCAGGAGGTCACTAGATTAAAGTTGTTCAATCACCTGCCAACAGAGGCACGGAACCAGTCTCAAAAAACCTTCCAAACAAGTGTGAGAAACCTGTTGCTGGCACACCGATTGTTCTCAGTCCAGGAGTTTTATAAAATCCCAAGTAATACTGTAAGTAGCTTTTTTAAGACTTGAGTGATGTTTGCAGTTTGCTTTTTATTTATTTGGGTTTGTAGTTAGCTGCATGGTTTTGTCTGCATGGTGTGCTTTGTTAAGATGCAAACTGTATTTTTTTCTGTACTTTTTCTTTTCAAAGAGTCAGATTCTTAAACTACCTGATATTCGAGCAAATGTGAGTATATAAGCCTTTTTTGCGTGCTGTGTTTGCTTGGTTTTTCTTAGGTTAAGTTTTTGCATAATGATTGTATATATTGACAATTGTATATTTTTTTTTACGATGCCCATTGCATTTTGTACAATGCTTAAAGGAAAATAAATTCATTTCATTTCATTTCATTAGTGCGCATTTTTGTTTAATGAGCAGAGCGAAGAGCTCTAAAATACAAGACAACAGCAAAACATTCCTTTTTTCAACCTGTATATAACAAGATTTATATAATCAGCACAGTAAAATGTTTAAATAAACTCCGTAAATATACATTCATAGCACTTACACTGGAGTTTACACTGGAGTTTACAACAAAATGTATATAACGTTTAGTGTCATAAAAAATGTTTAAACCTATGGTTGTAAACATATATTTATATTTTTTAGGAGCACCTAAATACGATTCGTTGAGTTTAAAACATGCATAGTATATATAGGGGCCGTTATATACTACCTTAATCACAGTTTTATTATGATTTTTCTTAGGCCTGGTTTATAAAAAGCAAAATAAATATTGTTAGTGTCAAATACTTCATATGCAACAACTAAACTGATATTTAAAACCATATTAAAAAAGGTACTAGGAGACTGAGCTTTGCTCGGATTGAATTAAACATAAAATTTATTAGATTAGTTATTTTGATAGATTACAAATATTTATTATGTACTTTTATCAATGTGAAAAAATTTTAGATGATACAAAAACATTTCAATACACCTTTATTAATACATATTTTGCTATACAAATTACCTGTATCAGCTGTTTTATTAACTGCAGCAACAAAAAGGTATATACGATAACATGGGTACTTTAAAGGGATGCAGGGCGAAAACTGGATTTTTCCCTACATCGTGACCAACTCCAATCAATTTCTCGTGGCTAAATACCCCAGAATAACTAAAAAAGTTAAAATCCTCGGACAAAAAAAAATATTGTCCGTACACACGCTTGTTTTAGTTATAGGAATCGCTGTTAAGTTAAACAACATCTGTTAATGTACGTTTGGAAACTTATTGATATATTTTACCATCTTCTCGTAGAAAACTAAATCTCTTTTCAAAACACAAAAAACGCCTGGTGGGCCAGGGGCTTGTTTAGAAGAAAGGAACAACAACTATGGTGTTTACAACAACAATTATGGATGGTAAAGCTATTTAAATCATTAATATATAGACCGAATAAGTTAATTTAACAACATTAGCCGTGTCTAAGTCCCAGACGGCCATGGTTGACAGGAGACCACCAATTATACCGGCGGCTCTTGACACATGCAGACCACTACATCATGCATCAAAGACGTCCATTGATTACAACAATGAGTCTAGGGATGCTGGTGGTAGCACATACAGACATTGAGTTACTGTTCTTGTCTGCATATGCAATAACCTGTATTTAACAACGTTGGCCATGTCTAAGTCACAGACGTCCATGGTTGATATGAGACCACCAATTCTACCGGCTATTGACACTTGCAGACCACTACATCATGCATCAGAGATGTCCATTGATTACAACAATGAGTCTAGAGATGCTGTGGTAGCACATACAGACATTGAGTTACTGTTTTGCCTGCATATGCAATAACCTGTATTTAACAACGTTAGCCATGTCTAAGTCCCAGACGGCCATCATTGACAGGAGACCACCAATTATATCGCCTCTTGACACTTGCAGACCACTCCATCATGCATCAGAGACGTCCATTGATTACAACAATGAGTCTAGGGATGCTGTGGTAGTACATACAGACATTGAGTTACTGTTTTTGCCTGCATATGCAATAACCTGTATTTAACAACGTTAGCCGTGTCTAAGTCCCAGACGGCCATCATTGACAGGAGACCACCAATTATACCGCCTCTTGACACTTGCAGACCACTACATCATGCATCAAAAACGTCCATTGATTACAACAATGAGTCTAAGGATGATGTGGTGGCACATACAGACATTGAGTTACTGTTGGTCTGCATATGCAATAACCTGTATTTAACAACGTTAGCCGAGTCTAAGTCCCAGACGGCCATGGTTGACAGGAGACCACCAATTATACCACCTCTTGACACATGCAGACCACTACATCATGCATGAGAGACGTCCATTGATTACAACAATGAGTCTAGGGATGCTGTGGTAGCACATACAGACATTGAGTTACTGTCTTGTCTGTATATGCAATAACCTGTATTTAACAACGTTAGCCGAGTCTAAGTCCCAGACGGCCATGGTTGACAGGAGACCACCAATTATACCGGCTCTTGACACATGCAGACCACTACATCATGCATGAGAGACGTCCATTGATTACAACAATGAGTCTAGGGATGCTGTGGTGGCACATACAGACATTGAGTTACTGTTTGTCTGCATTAGTAGTTCCAATTCATTAGTGTTTCTGAACATTTGGTAGAATACAGCAGTCATATGTTTTTTTCTTACTACTTTATTTATCCAACCTCTTCAAATATCATGGCATATAAATGAGCCGATTAAGCAAATGGAATACATCAGTGGAAGAATAAATGGACACGAGGTCGTAATAACTAATTTACCATGTTATTTTATTATTATTTTATTTCTATGCCACCTTCACATCCTAGGACGCTAGTCCTAGCCCGGAAACACATTATTTTACATTTACACATTACTTCAGGCTGGTATTAGAAAGTTGCGGCATCATCACAAAGATAAAATACATTCTGGCGACTGGCGGAATTTGATCCAGGGACCTCGGGCTCTACCACCAGACTAGCTCGCTTCATACTATTTAAGAAACAAACTAAATTTCCAAGAAGAGTCTGCATCTTAACAGTTTTATGTAGTCGTTTCTTCGCAACACAGTCGTGTGTTGGTCAAAGAATAGAGTTCATTATGCATATCACATTCAGGTCACTTGCAATACCCATGACATTGTAACTGCAATTTAAAATTGTAAGGGACTATCTCTTGAATCACCCAAAAAGACATAAGTCGGAACATTGATGATAAACAAAAAATGTGAATACAGTGAAGATGAAAAATTGAGACTACAATATTGAAACAAGCGGCAATATCATATTTGCCATTTATTGATTATAAAAAAAGTATATTATGGTAGTTGTTTGTTAAGTTAATTTTAATGGAGGAAAGCTCTCTGGTATCAAAATCCATTATGTAAAAAGTAAGTCACGTTATAACCGTTATTTCCACATTCCATTGCACTCACAGGACAAAGAATGCAATTAATTTCCAGCGATGATCTCAATATTTGACCTGTCATCAACATTCTCTCAAGAGTTGGAACTTTAATATTACAGCATTCCTAAAATGTTCCATTATTTAACGAGACCTTTTATGAATTTAAAAGTAAGAATTACTGTTTTTAACATAATGTCATTATAAAATTATAATGGTATCTAATCGTTCGAAAAACCAAGTTTTGTAATCCTAAGAGGTATTTTTCTTATAAATGTACCAGAAATACTAGTATGTAGTATGTAGTATAAGCAGTATGGTTCGTGTATCTTGTCAAACTACTTATCAAACCTAAATATTTCAAAAGAATTTTAAGTTTTCTTTGCTATAGTAAATACTACTTTCCTCCTTTTACTACTACTAACTTACCTCTACAAAGACCTTGGTCATCTGAATTTGATCCTATTTTTGAGATATTCTTACCATAAATAATTACCTACCACATTAAGCGTACAGAATTTTCAGGGGTCCAGTTAATGTTAAATGTTAATGTCAATTTAATTTAAAGTTCTTAAGATCTTAGTGTTTTCAGTTTCACCAATTAAGAGTGAAACGGTGAGCTAACTCGTCTGGTGAAAGATAAATGAACGCGAGAAGTTAGTTTTCAAACTCCCTTCAGCTATTTCACTTGTGTGTAGTTTTGAAGCAACCCATCTTAGTCTGGTCTCTGCCCATTGACCAATTGACAGTGTAGAAATGTAGAACACATTTATTTAACAATATGCTGTGTTGAGTTTTGAGCTTGGCAGTAAATATTATACTGATGTAAGGGAAATGTTAATTAAATTTAAATTATTTTAATTCACATAATATAATATACATATAATATCATGATCAATGGCTAACTAGTTTCACTGTATTTATACTTCACCTTGTTGGCAGAACTGGAGAACAGCTGTTAATTAACTAAAATCATTTTTGTAATGAGCTGTTTCTTCAAATCTTTCTTAGTTGGCTGATTCCCTTAAAAATTGTACAAACTCGTGAAAATGTAAGTAGAAAACATTTTAAAAATAAGAAAATTGATTTATGTGGTTTTGTATTGTAAATAATCTTGATTGCCATGTTTTTGCCTATGATTATATATATTCTTTTGATTGTCTGTCAGTTAATAACTTTGTAAATGTCAAATATTAAATATTCAACTTTCATGTTACATTTGGATGAAAAAGCACATGTTCTGAGAATATTTTGTAAATTGTAAAATCACCTTAAATTAATTCTGTTTGCTTCAACTATGTGAAATTAGTATAACTTTAGTTTACCTGTTATTATTTCTTTTGAAATTGTTACAGACGAGTTCAAGCATTAGGCCTACTGTACTTGAAACAGTCATAGTCCGTAGGAACTGGGAATCACAGCCTATTTAAGCCAGTCAAATCGTAGGAATTTTACCAAGTAAGACTGTTGCCATTTAATTACTGATATAGTAATATTTGGTATCATTTATAAGGAAGATTATAAAGGATTTTCATTATTTTGAAGAATAAAATTATAATTTGTTATTACCATGCATTGGAGTAATTTGTGCAGCATCCTACCATCTGAGGGAAATCATCAAATGATAGGTTATCTCAGCAAACACCATCTTAGCTGTTAGCTTGGTGTTGAAGGATAATAATTCTAAATTAAATCTTGCCTACCTACTCTCCGGTGATTGGCCTATACAGGGGTATTGGGTAGTGTACTACTAGTTTTGAGCTTGGCAGTAAATATTCGATCTCAAGTATATTGGTACAATACATTTAAAAGAGCTAATTGTGAGTCGGTAACTCAGTCAGTTCCGCCTGATACTGCAGGTCAAGGCAGCGATGTCGTAGGTTCAATCCTGGAATATGCCACTAATCCTTCAGTATAGCTCGCCCTTCGCTTCACCTAATATGCTATACGAACAGCCCCGAGGCATATGTGGACGAAAAAAATACAAGATTAACAATTCCTCTAACCTCTACAACTATCAAATAAAAACAAAGCCATAGTTTCTAATTTGCTAATTTGCAGTTTATTTGGAATTTCAATATATAGGTTCAGGTTTAAAACCACTTGTAAAAACGCATTATTTTAATTAATCACTAACCAAACTTTGTGTTTAACTACACTCCTTAATGTGACAGGGTCATCTATCAGTCTGTTAATTTATTGTTAAAAATATGAATGTGATATGTGTTCCTAGTGAAATAATATAATTGAATAAAATATTACATAATGGAATAGAAAGTTAGACTTTAAATAAATATGAATACTTATACAATAATATAATGGCTCCTGACGGTTATCGTTCTCTAAAATTCTCTGACTCCTGATTTTTTTTTTAAAAATATTATTGACATTGTTAACAAAACAACCATTCGGCTGTATTTTGATCATCAGGAATAACCAATCATTACGTTAGAGTCGAATTAAACAAATGACAAAGGGACACTTGTTCATTCATTTAAGAACAACGCATAGCATTGTTTAACTAGTTTCCTGTTCATTTCACTTCATCAGTAGATTCAATCATTGAGTACGATGAATACATTTCATGCAGTTGTTTAGAATAATATCAATATTTTCTATACGCCCACTTTTTCTAATCAAAAACTATGATTGGCTGTTAATTATTTCAAATTGCATTTAAATATTTATTTAACGGTCTGCCTTTTCTGCCGGTGGCAGGTGCAATTAACATATTTATTAATTCAATTGGTCCACTAATACAATTTTCTAAAACCATTTTAGAGTGAGTGCTAAGTTCAGATATTATACTCTATAAATATGTATTACTCCTTTTCGTAACAACAAAGTTTTACTGAAACATTACCAAGTGTAATAGCCTATCTATTAAACTATCTATAAATCCCAATGTTTAACTCACTCACTGACTAAGCAGGTGTTCTCTACCTACTTCTAGAATAGCTACGGGTCACAAACTCGGCACGATGTTAGGTCTCGGTCCCAAATTACCAGGAATGTTCCCAACAGTTACAGTTTCAAAATTTTAACTTACCCACAAAAATCAGAATTGAAGATAAAAAATCTAAAAATATGTTTTTTTAACAGCTACAACTTAAAAACGTTAAGTAACAAAGACTAAAAAAAAATAAGGTCAGGAATTACATTTGATACTAAGCTTATTTAGGTGTTTTCGGAAAATCACAGCTCTTCACCCACCAAAAACGCCCTACTACTTAATTTATTTTCAATGTATTGGGATTTTAACATGTTTTAAATTCTTGAAATTACTTTCTGGCCAAATATTTGTACTTTTAAAGCTCCAAACTTAGAAATAAAATCCCAAAAGTAACATATTAAAATATGGTACTT